AAAAACTATCTATAAAGTGCAAAAACCCTTTCAGAAAACCAAAATTTTGCCCGAAAACGCGATTTTTCATCGAAATATCCTTTTTGGGAAAAGGTTTTACGTTTAGGAATAGTCAAAAATGAATTTCGAACATACTTTCGCTAAAACAAAGTTTGTCCCCCCCCCGCTAATGAGAAAGAACCGGTGTTCAAGTTTTTTTCACATCGAATCCTCAATCGATCGCTTCGCATCGCGCGTTTGTCCCTGCCTCGAGCCGTCGTCCGAAGCTCCGCAGCGCTTTTACCTAAAAACGGGCAACGGCGTAGTACACGCCCAAAATTAGCGGCAATAAAGGCCTAAGCAACGCGACGCTCCATTCGTCAAGAAAATGTATGGGGCCCAAACTTTGGAGGCTTATATCTTGAAAGATAAGACCTAACTTAAAAAAAGCTTGTTCCAACTTTATAGAATGGGAGACGGCGAGTCTAATGATACTAAGAACTAAAAAAACTGAGTTCAAAAAGTATCAAAACGAAGGCGATTTTTATTTCGTTTGAATTTGGGGGAATTTGCCGGGCTTTGCAGGGTCGTTTGTATTGGTGTGTAGCGAACGGCCCTGGGAATGAGATAGCCTATTGAAAACTTAAAATGCTTATAAAAATCTGCTGCTTCATTGTTAAGACATGTCCAGTATACCAAAAAATTCTCCTTTTTTCGGGCTACAAAACGAACGACCGGTCAGGATGCCTACATGCCAAATCGCTTAGAAAATTACGAAAAAAGTCGAGCCACCTATCCTTTTGTCACAAACTGTAGTAAGAAAGTAAAAGGAAACGCCTGGTAGTGATTCTATCGCCAAATTATATTTTATTTCACTTTCTTTTACATTTGCCTGTTCGATTACCAAACTAAAAGATTCGAACCCAATGTTGCTTGCCGTTGTGGTACGTACGTGCCGTGTAGCGCCCCGTAGCCTTCCGCTCAAATTGCCGAAAATCTATGCATTTGAATGGGCGTGAGTAGCAAGTTCAAGACTAACCGCATCGCCAAAGCTGAGATGAAGCGTAGCTGCCGTCGCGGGCTTCGACGGCTGGCCTAAAAGAACAAAATCTCTAGCCTTTACGGTTCTTTCGCATTATCGGGGGGGCACAACTTTTTTCCTTAGGCAGTTTTTCGAATATAAATAGTGCAAGTGTTTCTCAACGGTTGTAATTCTTCCTAAACGCAAAAACTTTACAAATTCCTACTCAAAATACAATAAATGCCGATGTTTAGACGAAAACCGTCCATTTTTAACCAAAATTTCGCCCTTTTGAGTTTTTACCGTTTTTAAATAGTTTTTCTAGTTGGTTTGGCATCAAGAATTCGAAAAGAGCCCTTTGATTTAATCCTTAACCTTAAGAATGCAACACTTTGGTCTAAAAATCGCTATTTTTGAGCTAAACTTGTACAGTTTTTACGTTTAGGAAAAGAAAAAGCTATCTATAGACGATTTCGCTATTTCTATTCGGAAAATTGGGTCCTAGGAAAAATTTTGTGCCCCCCGGTAAAGCGAAAGAAGCGAGATTTCAAATTTTTGAAGTCGATCCCTCAAGCGGTGGCATCGCATCGCGCCGTGTCCCTGCCTCGAGCCGTCGTCCGAAGCCCCGCAGCGCTTTTACCTAAAACGGACAACGGCGTAGTAGCAATCTGAAGACTAACCGCATCGCCAAACGTAGAGAATGCAGTGTAGATGCCATCAGTGGGCGTCGACGGCCATCCGGCGCCACCTAAAAAACACAAAATAACAGTATCCCGTAAAAATCCTACCTTTTTCGCTGCTTTGCCTCGAAGCCCCGTCCGTTTTGCCCAAATTCCCTCTCGAAACCATCGCGATGGTTAGAATTTAGTGGTACTTTTGCATTATCGGGGGGATTATTAGGATTTTTTCGAGTTTTTGGATAGTTTTTCTAGTTTACTTGGAGTAAAGTTAGTAAAAATACTTTTTAAAAGTTTCCTTAGGATCCAGTTTTTCTAATATAAATAGCACAAGTGTTTCTAAACCGTTTCTACTATTCCTAAGCTTACGTTCTATTGATTACTAATAAATTGCCGCAGGATACGACAGAAAGAGGGGTTTTTCGGTGCCAGCCGGGGGTGAATGGGGAGGCGGGCGCCGAGAGAGAGAGGGCGGGTGAGGGCGGGCCCTGCGTCCATTGGTCGCTGAAGCCCCGGCGGGATCGGTCGCGCAAATCTGCCGCCTAAAATGGGTTTAGCATCCGGATAAAGTAGCTTTTCTTGAAATATTTGCTATTCGTATCATTTTCCGGTTGTTGCGCACGGGTTTTCAGTTGATTTGAAGCTTGGCCGTCCCAAAAAAGGGGTCAAAATTCGTTTTGAAAGCCGCAAAAACATTGTTTTACCCAAATTTAGAACATGGATTTGAATTTTTGTCTTTTTTATGCGTTTTGTAGATTGCTCATCCCGAAAACGGCCAAAATAATGTTTTTAAAGCCGCAAAAAACGTTGTTTTAGCCAAATTTAGACCCTGGACTTGAATTTTTGCCTTTTTTATGAGGTTTTGGAGATTTGCCGTCCCAAAAAAGGGGCAGAATACTTTTTTAGAGGGCCAAAATTATCGAAATGCATCAAAACACAAAAATCGACCTTTTCCCCGGCTTTTTTCAGTTTTTTAGACTTGACGAAGCCCTAAAATTCGGGGCGTAAAACTAGGAGGAAATATACGTGATGTTTTCAGGTCTAAAAGTATCCTCGCCTGCTGCAAGGCGCAAAAACCGTCAAAATTTTGGGTTTTTCAGTTTTTTTCGTGGGCATTAAGTGCTTTCAGCAAATTGTAAAAAGCCCTCTAATTCTTTCGCCGGCCCGCAAACCGCAAAAGCGACTACGAAAACAATTTTGGCCAAAATTCTGTTTGAAAACGCCATGAAAAGCGTCAAAAAGCAAAATTAGTAGTTTTTTTTTGGGACTAAGCATTGTGATTTTTTTTAAAGGGCGATCCACGCGACGTCGTCCTTCGATCGGTACCTGACTGCCCGGTCCCTTTAAAAGAATATTATAACCTACAATTCCAGATTGGTCTTCGCCCGCTTCTTCTTCTTCAGCACGGCTTCATCTTCTCAGCTTCATCTGCTCGCTTCTCGGCTTCTTCGCGTCTTCTGCACGGCTTCATCTGCTCGATCGCTTCTTCTTCCGCCTCTCCACCTCCTTCAGGTTCTGCCCGCTTCATCCCGTCTCGAGATTATCTAAATTTAGTCCGGGGAAGAGCCTTATATTCACGACTAACCGCGATAAATCCCCATTTCGCCTTGCTGTCGTCGTCGCCGCCGTCGCCCCTGCCGAACTCGTGGTGCTGCTCCTTCCTGAAATACCAAATATTAAAATACCAATTTCCAGGCGTATTTTGTATTCCCCCGTAGCCTACGCAGTGGCCGGCTATCATTAATGCGTGCTCTGTCGCCGCTACGCCTTACACCTCAATACACCGCCTACAAAAACACGTTCGAGCGCCTATAAAATATCAAATGTCGCCCTTTCTTCGCGCGTTTCGGGTTTTTTCGTTTGAAAGTGGCTGTTTCTAGCAATTTATCGCCCCAAAAACCTATTTTTGCCCCAGTTTTTCGCAATTTGCCATTAATGCGCTTTCGCGTCGCTACCGTTCCCGCTACGGCCAGTACGCACTACGACTACGGACGCTGATGCCTAAAACGGCCCTACTGCTAATAATTTTCAAATTTTGAGACTTTTAAAACTGAAAAACCCCAAATAAAGGTCATCGTATCCAACAATTTTGCGATTTCAAAGTTTTTAAAACCGAAAATCCCCCAAATAAAAGCCATTTTCTTACCGCAAACACTTCAGACTCGCTTCCATCGCTCCCGCGCGTCATCCTCCCGCGTTGGCTGCCGTCGTCTCGTGCAGCCACATCAGCAGCATCGTCAAGTAGGTACACACATCTAAAGCTCGGGCCGAGAAGTGGAAATCTAATCGCTAACCTTTATAGTGCAGCAGCTTGTCGCCGGCGTCATCGTCGTCGCGGCCCACCGGAAGCTTCGCTGCTGCGCGCGTCACAGAGTCGGGCGGAGCGGAACCTGTAAAAGCGAAATAAAGCATAAATAAATGAAAAAAAGAAATTGCCATGAAAACACCGAATTGCAATTGAAAAAAAAAGTAAAAATGGAGTAAAAAAGAGTAAAAAAGGGAGCCGAAAGCTTGAAAAGCGGTTTCCGGTGTTTAAAAGGAAATTTTGCCCGATTGAAATAGTGTAAAGTTAGAGCAAAGTTTTTGCAATGTAGTTTGGGCAAATTTTAAAGGGTTAATGGCTCTAAAACGGCAGTTTTAAAAAGGTTCAAAACAAAAGAAAGCGTAAACCATAAAAACCTAGTGGAACTGGAAAATCTAAAACATTTTTTAACGAAAAATTACAATTTAAAAAAGCCGCAAAACCGGTGAAATAGAAATCCGAAAAATCTAGTGGAACTGGAAAATATAAAACATTTTTTTGTAACGAAAAACTACAATTTAAAAAGCCGAAAATTGGGGAGAAAGTGGAAACCATAAAAATCGAATGGAAATGGAGAATACGAAACTTTTTTCGCGTTTTTAAAGCATTTTAAGCGCCGACGCAGCTTGCTGCTTATCAAAAAACGTTAATTAACCCAAAAATACATTTTAACAGGGCAAAAATTTCAGGAAAAGCCTGCCGCCGACCAAGCCGACCAAGCCAGCCGGGGCCCCTCCCCCGACGCGACAGTACGGTCCACCCGGCCAATCAAGAGAGAGGACCTTCGTCACGCCCTTTCCGGGCCTAAAAATGATCAAAAATCTGCAATAAAAAAGGGGAAAAGTAATGCCGAAAGACGTGAAACTTATCTAAAATTTATTCTATAGTGTTTTGCTATCTGATCGTGCTTTCCCCCCCCGTAAATCCGGCCGCTAAAACGGCAAAAAATTCAGTTTTTCCTTGTTTTCCGATTTTTCAATTTTGTTTAAAATCCTTCTTTCTCCCCTGCCGCTCTTCCCAAATGCTTTTAAAAAGTTTTCGCAGCGTAAGCGGTCGTTTTGCGGCTGGAATTCGTGCGGCAAACCGTTAAAAGATTACTTTTGCTTTTTGTTGCGCCTTTTCCTGGGCTTTTCGGCGAATTTTTTGTTTTCTAGCCTCTCTAAAGTACCATTTTTTAGTGTAAACCTCTCGAAAAGCCGCTTTCTTTTATTCCCCTTTTTCTAAAATCAGTTTTTCCGCTTTTTAAAGGTTTGAAACCCTTTTTTAAACGCCAAAAAGCACTTTCGTGATTTTGAGACAGCTTTTTTCGGGAGTTGCGCGGTTTCTTTCCCCTTTTTTACTGCTTTTTTTTACTTTTTTCAAATTACTAAATGCTAGCATCATTTTTCTGATTTTTCAATCATTGTACTATTGTTCAGTTTGCAAAAAAACACATTTTCAGCAGCTCATCGCGTTGGCCGGGCCCACGACGACGATTTCGTCGGCAGCTGATGAGGCGGCGTGCGAGGAGGACGAGGACGTGGACGACCAGGCGATCGAGGCACCGCTCGTGAGGCTTAGGTAAAAAAAAGCTTTTATTGGGGGGATTTTCGGTTTTAGAAATGTCGAAATTGCGAAAATGTTAGATAAGACAACTTTTATTTGGGGGTTTTTGGATTTTGTTGAATAGATTTTATTGAAATTGTTCGCAGCGTCCGTAGTCGTAGTGCGTACTGGCCGTAGCGGGATACGGTAGCGACGCAAAAGCGCATTAATGACAACTTGCGAAAAACTGGGGCAAAAAGAAGTTTTTTTGGGCGATAAATTGCTAGAAAACAGCCTCTTTCAAACGAGAAAACCCGAAACGCGCGAAGAAAGGGCGACATTTGATATTTTATAGGCGCTCGAACGTGTTTTTGTAGGCGGTGTATTGAGGTGTAAGGCGTAGCGGCGAGAGGGCGCGCATTAATGATAGCCGGCCACTTCGTAGGCTACGGGGGTATACAAAATACGCCTGGAAATGGGGGCATTTTGGGTACGGTAGCCGTATCTGTTGGCTATTTTAATATTTGGAATTTCAGGAAGGAGCAGCACCACGAGTTCGGCAGGGGCGAGGGCGGCGACGACGACAGCAAGGCGAAATGGGGATTTATCGCGGTTAGTCGTGAATATAAGGCTCTTCCCCGGACTAAATTTAGATATATCGAGACGGGATGAAGCGGGCAGAACCTGAAGGATGAAGCCGAGCCGAGAAGACGACGGGAAGACGTGGACGGTTCTGACGAACGACGACGGTGCTCTAAAGAAGCGGACGAAGACGAATCTGGAATTGTAGGTTCTAACATTCATTTAAAGGGACCGGGCAGTCAGATATCGATCGATGGACGGTGTCGACCAAAAATTTAACATTTCCCAAAACATTATGAAATTGCCTTTTGACGGATTTTATGAGATAATGAAACACAATTTTTTGCCTGAAATCTTTTTCGGTGGTCGTAATTTAACGCGTTGAATTTTCGGACAAATTGAGCAAATATTTTTTTGATGAAATTTTTTGAAACAAATTTTTTTGTGGGCGTTTTCAAACAGGCAAAACCCGGTAAATCTTAAATTAAATTGAAGCGTTAGCTAAATTGAATATTAAGTTAAACCAGGGTTGAAAAGCCGCTTCGCGACTTTTCAACCCTGGCCCCGTCTCGGACCCCACAGTATCCTTCCCTTTGCATACTTGTCCTCCATTCAGAAGACAAAAAAAATGAGAAACAACCCATTTTGCCTCTTTATATAGACGACTGCCCACTTCCGGTCTATGCTAATTATTTCTAACAAAGAAGTTTTTACAAAAACCTAATTTTAATAGCGAAAATGGCTAATTTTTCAAAATCTGATATGTGTGCAGTCATCCATAGACCATTACGCACCTAATGACGTATCATCCGTAGACTAATACCCGTCCCTTCTTGAGATATCCTCCGGACAGACATCCGGAAGTGGATGCAAAGTGGCACACACACACACACAGACACTATTTTTTTATATATAGTAGGATTCTTTGCATTTTAAACAAACTTTTGGAGTTTAGTTGAAAACATTTAGTTTTGCCCAAAAATTGGGAAAATCAAATTTTTTGGTGTTTTTTATGAGTTTTTGAAACACAATTTTTTTAACTGTCAATTTTCAGGAGATGTGCGGTGGGCTGTGGAGTCGACGGTCGACAAGAAGCCGGAAAGCGGAAGAAGTTGTGAGATGGAGGTTGAGCGGTTAGTCGTTGATCTTGCTTTGCTTCCCCGGAAAGACTTTAGGTAGGACCAGCGGCCGATGAAGTCGACGAAGCTGACGAAGCCAACCAAGCCGACGAAGTCAATGAAGCCAACGAAGCGAAGGAAGCCGAGGAAGCCAACGAAGCCGTTGAAGCCGCCGAAGAAACAAGGCAAAAAAGCGAAAAGCACAAATGGTGAATCAATTTTATTTTTAAAGGGACCGGGAAGTCAGGTGGATGAAGAAGCGGCGCACGGCTTAAAATTGCTTTTTGCCGAAACATTTATTTTTCGACTGAATTTTTGAAAATTCAATTTTTTTTCGCGTTTTAATATTTGCTGGAACATGATTTTTTTTGCCGCGAAAAACCGAAAAAAGGGAAGAACGCTAATTACTTTTGTCTTTTTGGACATATACGAAACATAATTTTTTTACGAGCAAAATTTTTTTGGAAAAATATTGTTTTCGTTGTGTTTGGAAATTTGTGGAACACAAATTTTTAAGGCTAAATTTAAAATTGGGTATGTTAAAGGGCCGTTGAAGTGTGGAAAGGGGGAACTGGCCACACTAATCGCACAATTTCAGATGACCGCGGCGAGAGAGCGACGACGAGAGGGACAGTGAGAGAGACGGAGGCAGCGAGAGAGCGCGAGGAAAGGATAGATGCCGCCTACCGTACCCCAGACGTGTTGTACAGCTCGGAGACGTCGGGAATCCGCATCGTTTCAGGTCAGATTTTTTAGAATTCTTATTTTCGGTTTTTTAGCAACTTTTGAAACATAAATTTTTTTCGAGCCGAAATTCAAAAATAGATATTTTTAAAGGGCCGTTGAAGTGTGGAAAGTGGGATATGGCCACACTACTAATAGCGCAATATTTCAGGCGTCATGGCGAGAGAAAGGAGGCGAGAGAGGGACAGCGAGAGAGGGCAGACGACGCCCACCGTGTCCCCGACCAGCTGAACGTCTTGGTGACGTCGGGCGGCTACTGATTGGAGCGAGAATCGCGGTTAGTCGTCGATTGCTTTTTCTTCTCCGGCACTTTAGCTATGACCGACTGGCGATCGTCGAAGAACGCGGGCCGACGTCTTCAACGAGGTCCATCTCGACATCTACCGACCCGCAGAAGATGGACACCGAGAAGTTTTTTGGGCCGATCGATTTTTAAAAGCTTTTAAAATTTTTATAAACAGTATTTTTTTTGATTTTTCGGCAAAAATTCCAGATTTTTTGCGTTTTTTTTTGGAAATTTATGAAACACGAGTTTTTAAAGCCGAAATTCAGAATTGATCATTTTAAAGGGCCGTTGAAGTGTGGAAAGGGGAAACCGGCCACACTAATAATACGATTCCAGTGGAATCGGCGAGAGGGCGACGACGAGAGGGACAGCGAGAGGGCGAGGGAGAGCGGGAGAAGCTGGGCCCGCTGAACGTCTTGGGGATGTGGCTCTGCTGCACAGTTGGAAACAAAGCGAGGAAGAACGGAATTTTTGAAAATTTTTGAATTTTGTAATGTTGAATTTTTTTTCGAGTTTTTTGGCAATTTGTGGAACACAGTTTTTTAGGCAAAATTCAAAATTGGCGATTTTAAAGGAGCGTCGAAGTGTGGAAAGGGGCTAACTGGCCCGACTAATAGCACAATTTCAGTGGACTCGACGAGAGAGCGACGACGAGAGGGACAGCGAGAGAGATGGAGGCAGCGAGAGAGCGAGGGAGAGAGAGAGCGAAAGAGAGGCCCAGGCGACGACGAACGTACCACCCGGGGCGCCTGAACGTCTTGAAGGCGTCGAACAACTACAACGTCGAGCGGGAATTGCGGTTTTTTTCATTAAAAATTCCAAAAGAATTTATTCAAAAATTGATTTTGGATTTTTTGAAAACCTTTTTTCCGGTTTTTGGACTATTGTTGAAACATGATTTTTCTGAAGCAAAATTGAAAATTGATCATTTTAAAGGAGCGTCGAAGTGTGGAAAGGGGGAAACTAGGCCACAATAATAACACAATTTCAGAGCTCACGGCGAGAGAGCGGGGGCGAGAGAGACGGCAAGAGCGAGAGAGATGGAGCGACGGCGAGAGAACGAGGGCGAGAGGGACAGCGAGAGAGAGGGAGCAGCTGGGCCGGAGTGAATTAAAGGAGCATATAAGCAGGTGTGTTCCGGGTTTTAAAGGACCGTTGAAGGCTGTTGGCCCGTGGATTTTTGGACTGTTGCCCCGAATTATTGTATTATTTTCTCTTTTTCAGGCCGACTACCGTACCCCATCGGCCGGCTGAACGGCTCGAACAGCTCGGAGGAAGAGCTGATCATCTACCGACGCTCGCCAGGAACCTAAATTTTTTTTTGAGGCGTTTGAAGTGTCTTTATGTGTAATTAATTATTGTTTATGTTTTGTTGAATAAAGACATACTGAAATTTATTGGATTTGTGTCTTTTTATTCGCCACGTACCGACAGAGATACCTCGAAATGCGTGCTCAGAGAATTCGTTCTTCAGAGCAAGGCTTTTAGATGAAAATCGGCTTGCTTTTTGTGGCGGTTGGGGGGGCCTTCTTGGCCATAATTTCGGCCTCTGGTTATTGGGTAGGATACGGCCCGAAGAGGGACGAGGTAACGTCTTCTTTTAAAGGGATAGTGACAGCTAGTTTTAGCAAATCTATGACGCCCTTGCCAAAGCTCACGAGACGTTGGCCATCGATATGGAGGAATGCACGGTACCGTAATCTTTTAAAGGTGTAGTGACAGCTGATTTTAGGCAGTCAACGGTCAGATGGCGGAAGACAGTAAAAGACTGAGCGACGCCCGCGACAAGTACAAGGTACCGTAATCTTTTAAAGGTACAGTAACAGCTGATTTTAGAGTTTGTACGACCAGGTGTTGATCGAAAAGCGGCAGCTGGAGAAGGAGCTGCAGAAGTACCGGGTACCGTAATCTTTTAAAGGTGCAGTGACGGCTTATTTCAGGGAACCGAAAAACCGACAGCGAAGCTACCTAGCTATCTGAGCGACCCGTTGGCGGATTACGTGTTCCGCCTGTACAAACATCTCGAAGGGAATATTGGCTCTCCAATTAATGGCTTAGATGTGAGTCGTTATCGTTTGCTACGGGTTACTCTCTGAAAGGCATTTGGTTTTCGAAAGTATCTCTCTCTCTCACTCTCTCTCTCAGTCTCTCTCTCTCTCTCAGTCTCGTTCTCTCTCACTCTCTCTCGCTCTCTCTCTCTCACTCTCTCCCAGTCTCGCTCTCTCTCTCACTCTCTCGCTCTCTCGCTCTCCCCCTCTCCCCCTCTCCCCCTCTCTCTCTCTCTCTCTCTCTCTCTCTCTCTCTCTCTCTCTCTCTCTATCTCTCCCCTTACCACCAGCAAGTTGAGGTTGAGGGCAGGACGCAGAAAGCTGGGTTAGGCTGTTTAAATTGGATTTTTGTGCATTATGACCGTCAGTTTACCCTCAAACCCGCAAAATCCGTTTTTAAAATTCAAAAAGCAAAAAGTTGCGCGGGGGCCGGGATTCGAGATTCGATAGTGGGGGGGCACTCGAAGTTTTTCATCATAAAAATATTTTTAAATATGGTTTTTTCGGGCTTTAAAAAAGTTCTTAGTATACTTTCGGCCCTCTATCGAATGGGATTTTGAAAATATCGAAAATATGCCATAATCCCGACATCCGTAATTCCGACACTATGTCGGTATTATCGCTGTCGGGGATTATGGTGGCCGGGATTTTTAATGTCGGGATTATGCCGGTTTCCGATGGCATTATGTAGAATCGGCATTATGTAGGTACCTGAACGAGAGCATGTACTTTCGATATTTTCATTTGTTCCCATCGTCTCTGGTGGCAGGCGCCAAAGTGCCGAAACGAACAAACTTTTGTTCATATTCTAAATCAATGCAATTCTAAGGGATGTACGCAAATCATCGTCCCCAAACGTATCTTTTTCTTCATCGCCCAATCTGGATTTGTAGATCGGCAAGGAGGGGATCGCCGCCGTCGCCCAGAAACTGCTCGAGGCTATCATCACTGCAATCGAAGCGCGCCGAGCGTTCTTTTCCACGTCCGCCCGGCGGTGGGCCACCCGGGTCTGCTTCGCCTTGGCGTATTTCGGGCTGGCGTCAATTTTCTACGTCCTGAGAATTACGATTTTTGGTGTCGTAGTGAATGTAATTAATGTATTGCGTCTCTTCGGGGACCGCGATGTGCCCGCCTGGATCGGACAACGTCTAGAGAATTGGTTGCTCTCCCGTCCCCGCCCCCGTGTTTTGTGAGTAGTGCTCCCTTTCCACGGCTCATTTCGCTCCCTACCTCTGCGCAATTTGGTCTCTTTCGGAATTGTGTGAGTAGTGCTCCCTTTCCACGGCTCATTTCGCTCCCTACCTCTGCGCAATTTGGTCTCTTTCGGAATTGTGTGAGTAGTGCTCCCTTTCCATGGCTCATTTCGCTCCCTACCTCTGCGCAATTTGGTCTCTTTCGGAATTGTGTGAGTAGTGCTCCCTTTCCATGGCTCATTTCGCTCCCTACCTCTGCGCAATTTGGTCTCTTTCGGAATTGTGTGAGTAGTGCTCCCTTTCCATGGCTCATTTCGCTCCCTACCTCTGCGCAATTTGGTCTCTTTCGGAATTGTGTGAGTAGTGCTCCCCTTTCCATGGCTCATTTCGCTCCCTACCTCTGCGCAATTTGGTCTCTTTCGGAATTGTGTGAGTAGTGCTCCCTTTCCATGGCTCATTTCGCTCCCTACCTCTGCGCAATTTGGTCTCTTTCGGAATTGTGTGAGTAGTGCTCCCTTTCCATGGCTCATTTCGCTCCCTACCTCTGCGCAATTTGGTCTCTTTCGGAATTGTGTGAGTAGTGCTCCCTTTCCATGGCTCATTTCGCTCCCTACCTCTGCGCAATTTGGTCTCTTTCGGAATTGTGTGTGTGGGTGATAAATTGGTGATAAATTATGCTCCTATTTCGTCTTCGTCTTGCCATACATATCGCACGCTCATACACATGAATAACACATTGGGCATCTCGACATTATGTTCGTGAATCGCTCTGGGTGGATCGGGAGTGGGTTGTAGTTTGTAGCATTTGATGTCTCCACGCGGCTACCGTATCTCTCGTCACATGTCGTCGACAGCATTCCCCTTGACGCGAATGCCTATTCTCGGGTCTGCCCCATGGCATTCCAACTGTAATTGGGAAGGGGTTAGAGAGCAAGAGAGAAAGAAAGGGAGAGAGAGACAGCGAGAAAGGGAGGAGAGAGAAGGAGAAAGGGAGAGAGAGAGAGAAAGAGAGACAGAGACAGAGAGACAGAGAGAGAGAGAGAGAGAGAGAGAGAGAGAGAGGGGGGGAGAGAGAGAAAGAGAGCGCGAGAAAGGGAGAAAGAGAGAGCGCGAGAAAGAGAGAGAGAAAGACAGAGAGAAAGAGAGAGGGAGAAAGGGAGGGAGAGCAAGAGAGACAGAGACCGAGAGCAAGAGGGCGAGAGAGAAAGGAGCGAGAGAGAGAGAGAGAGAGAGACAGCTAGAAAGGGAGAGAGGGGGAGGAATGGCGAGACATGAATATAAAATCTCCCACCAATCAGGCCAGTATAGAATATTATTTGTAAAGCGAGCATCATCCAATCGAGGAAATTGAAGGCGTCGACGGCATGCTGGAATGCACTCTCTCTGTCACTCACTCCCCGATTCTCTCTCAGTCTCTCTGTCTCTCTCACTCTCTCACTCTCTCTCTCTCTCTCTCTCTCGATTACTCACCGAAAACCTTGGCATTCGAAGAGAATCCTCAACATCAGAGGTCCAAATAATTGGACCAATTCTCAACACCCAAAATGGTCCAGTTATGAATGTAGAGAGGCAGCCACCGATATGAAGGCCAAACAGCCATTCCCCGTAGATGTGCCGCTGGAAATTGTCAGGAGTGGCCAATCCGCGAGTTCTCGTAATCTCCAAAGGTCCGAGTCGAGAAATCGAGACGTTCCGGTTTGGCTGGAGGGAAATCGAGGGCAATCGAGGGAAAACTCATTATTAGGACATTTGCAATTACTGCGGGATTTTGCAAGTGCCATCCGATAGAGCGTCGAAAAATATACGAAGAGAATTAATTAGGGGGGTTTTTAGGGGTGTTTAGGGGTTTTTTTAGGGGGGTTTTCGGGGGGTTTAGGGGGTTTTTCGGCGGGGGGGGGGTTTAGGG